CATTAGCAGCAAATTAAATAATTTAAACGAATAGTCCAGCATTTTACAACCGGATCTTTACCTGCTGCATCTGTACCACATGATCAATTACCATGGACCATCATTTCTCTGTACTTAGAAAACTGAAAAAATGCTGTATCAAAACACACATATAGATGAAGCCAATGGGAAAGTGTTTCAACACTTTGCCTGCCCATTTAACTTTGCTCCAAGTCCAGAGTTTCTTTTGCAAATATATCATAATGACTGTCCAGGGTAATTGACTGCATGCTACAGATATTGCACTATGTAAAAGTCAGAGTCCTGTCAAAATGGTCATTAAGTACAATTTATATATTTTTCAGAGCCGAGAAAAAAAGCAGAAAACATATTTCACAGAAAATCACACAGAAACCTCAACATCCAAATATATCTATTTTTCAGTGTTCAGTGAGTCACTCTACCTTTATCACAGCTTCCATTCTTTTCAGGAGACTCACTTTCAGATCCTCAAAGAATCTGCAGACACACCTCCAAAGTTCAGTCTGAGAAGCTGGTTGATCATTTTCTGAAGTAATCAAACACATTCAGTGGTGTTGAGGTTTGGACTCTGGGGTGGTCAGTCCATTGTTCAGCTTCTTTGTTTGATGTGTCCGTCTCCTTTTCTCAGTGAGGTTCTTCTTGATCAGCTACACATCCTTTCAGACCCACAGCGCTGAGTCGTCTTCTCACAGTGGAAGGATGGACAGAAACACCTGTGGATGTTTTCAGATCTGGAGCAGCTTGATTTTCTCCTCTCTCTCAGAGATGAAAGCTTTAAGTGCTGTTTATCTGATGGGGGCAGTTTTGGGGTCTACAAGGTCTTCCAGGTGGTTGTTAGGAGTCCTGTTTTCTTTTTAACTCCAGGTGTGTCAAAATTTTTACACTTTGACTTTTCCTTCCTGATGCAAGCGGTTTATATCATAACTAATCTCCTCAGGAAGATCTCCTTTGGCCATTTTAGATGCACATGAGAAGGAAATGTCTGAAGTAGTTAAGGTGAGTTTGGGTAGTTGTGTGAATGTTAGTGTCTCTTTAAAAGGGAACATTATGTAAATGACATCTTTGGGAACAGGTTTTGTCCGGAAGACACAGCTGTAACTCATTGGTTTTAAGATAGGAAGAGTGCACAAAAGTAAAGAGCTTAAATTTGTAATTGGGTTCACTTGGACTGTGAGAAGCAGAAAATGCTAAACCAACTTCTAAGACTGAATTTCGGAGGTGTGAAAGTGAGTCTCCTGAAAAGACTGGAAGCTGGAATAAAAGTAAAGAGCAACTCAATTAACACTCAAACATCTGATGTTGTAGTAAATGTTAAGTTTTATTGTTTCAATTTATTTACTGTTAAATATACACTTACCGACCACTTTATTAGGAACACAATGCTAGTACTGGGTAGGGCCACCCCTTTCCTCTCAAAACAGCCTCAATTCTTCCTGGCATGGATTCCACAAATTGTTGGGAACATTACTTTGAGATTCTGGCCCATGTTGACATGACCGCATCATTCCTGCAGATTTTTAGCTGCACTTTCATGCTGCTCGTTCTACCACATCCTAAAAACGTTCTATTGGATTCAGATCCAGTGACTGGGATGACCACTGAAGAACTCATTGTCATGTATTTGAAACCACTTTGAGATACCTTTGCTTTGACATGGTGCATTATCATGCAGAAAGTAGCCATTAGGAGATGGAGGTAAACTATGGCAAAGAAGGGATGCACATGGTCAGCGACAATAGTCAAACAGGCTGTGGCAATCAGGCGATGATTGATTGGTATTAACAGGCCTAAAGTTTGCCAAGAAAAACCTTTGCCTCACCATTACACCACCTCCACCAGCCTGGACTGCTGACACATGGCAGGCTGGGCCCATGGATTCATGTTGTTGGCTCCAAATTCTGACCCTACCATCTGTGAGCCTCAGTGGAAATCGCGACTCATCAGATCAGACTGCATTTTTCCAGTCTTCAGCTGTCCAGTTTGGTGAGCCTGCAGCCTCAGCTTTCTGTTCTTGGCCGACAGAAGTGAGACCCGACACGGTCCTCTGCTGTTGTAGCCCATCTCCCTCAAGTTTCAACATGTTGTACATTCTGAGATGCTTTTCCACAATTGGTTATCTGAGTAATTGTAGCCTTTCTGTCAGCTCGAACCAGTCTGGCCATTCTCCACTGACCTTTCTAATCAACAAGGTGTTTCTGTCCGTAGAACTGCTGCTTACTGGATGTTTTTTCTGTATTGCACCATTCTGAGTAAGTCTAGACACTGTTGTGTGTTAAAATCCCAGGAGCTCAGCAGTAACAGAAATATTCAAACCATGGATGGTTGATGCGTACATTATTGAAGCTGCTGGCCCATATCAGCATGATTTTATGCACTGCACTGCTGCAACATGCATGAATAAAGAACATTATAGGTGGAGGAGTTCCTAATAAAGTGCTCGGTGAGTGTGTTTCCTGCTTTCTGAAACTGAAAAATTAATAACTTGTACTTAATGGCTGCTTTGACTGGAAATTGAACAGTGTGGCAGGAAGAGATTACGCTGCAAAACACTGGTGAACATACACAAAGAAAAGGCAACACCAAGAACATAAAGTCAAATATAATGCAACGATTTTCTCTGATTTGCATCTGCCATTAAAGTTTAGCGGCGTTCCACCAGGAGCGAGTCTACAGCCACAACGAATAACAGCAAGAACTCATAGCAAGCACCTGAGAAGGAAAGCAAACAACGAAGCACAATCACAAAAGCAATTCTGTGTTCAAGTGTTCACATTCAAGAGGGCCTCGAAAGCAGAAGGAAGGCTCACGGATCCGGCAGCCTTCCTGAGATTAAACCCTGGTCCTTAAATGTGACTTGGCAAACACCTATTATGGCGAGCAAATGTGTCTTGGCATGACAAGCGAGCGCTACAGAGTCAGCAAATGAATAATGCAAGCTTGTGCAAACACTTTAAAACAACTCCAGTGCAGTCTCATGTGAAAGAGTCGCAGAGGTGCTGTGTCTTCTCTGGTGTTAGAAACCAAATTTTGCATGCTGCAATTTGTGGAAGAGCTCCAAACGTTCCCTCTAGGTTTGCCTCCATCAACAGACTGAGCGGAAACGGGTGCTGACTGCTAATGAGAGGGTGGAACGCTGTTTTGATTTTGTGTTAGGTTTCTCGAATGACCCACAGTCTCTGTGTGGTGACACCGATGACATTAGAAAGCATCTGTTGCTGTTTGCGCCACTATTTGGTTGCACTTTCTTTAATAGCCCCTTAAGTTCTAGGTATTAACCAGGTAAGTGTGAGGTACAAACTCCAAAGTACTACATACATAAAAATATGGTTGTTTAAGGGTTCTCTAGTAAAGAAAATGGTTCTATATCCAACCATAAACACTCAAAGAACCCTTTGCAGTTCTTTGAGTGTTCTTAAACAGTTCTTCAGATTGATGGAGAACATGCTGTAGATGGTTTCTATATAGAACCTTTTTGAAAAGGGTTCTATAGAGCACCAAAAGGGGTTCTTCTGTTGTGATGATGTCAAGCTTGTAACAATAGCACTCAAAAGAACCCTTCTGAGTGCTATGTAGAACCCTTTGTTGTTCATGGCTCTATATAGAATCATTTTCTTCACTAAAGAACCCTTGAAGAACCATCTGTAGAATTATTCCAAATTCCAAGGCAGTCTAACTCACATCGAAATGTCTAACAGGTTCTAGGTATTATGAATGGTTAAGTGTCACATTTCAGGGTAACACAGCTAGACTGTCTTGGTACTTACCGTCATTTTACCGCAAATAACTACACAGAACTTTAGGGACCAAACCCAAAATACTTACTCAGTTAATAGCTAGAACCTGTGGGCATTTCAGTGTTCTATAGAAGTCCAGAAAGGCCATGGGGTAGTTATACATTTCTGGATTGTTATCTTGAGATAATGAGTTAATTATCTTTTAATCTCAAAATAACAAAGTTTTTATTTCAAGATAACGAGTTAGTTATCTTGTTATCTTGAGATAAAGTTGTCTTAAATTAGTGATTTAGTTATCTTCTTCTTATCTATCTCAAGATAACAAAGTTGTTATCTGGAAATTACAAGTTAATTGTCTTTTAATCTCAAGATAACAAAGTTGTTATCTCAAGATAACGAGTTAGCTATCTTGTTATCTCAAGATAACAAAGTTGATATCTGGAAATAACAAGTTAATTATTTAAGTTTTTTTCTTGACATAATGTGTTCATTATCTTGTGATCTCAAGAAACAGTTACAAGATAATCAAAGTTGTTATCGTGAGATCACAAGATAATTAACTCGTTATCTCAAGATAACAATCCAGCAAATTACAGCTACAGCTCATGGCCTCTCCGGACTTCCGTAGTGTTCAGTGTTACCCAAAATAATTATCTAGTACTTGTTTGTAACCTGTTTGTAACTTGTTTGTACTTAGAACTTAGGGGGCTATAAAAGAAAGTGTTACCCACTATTTTCACAGTAAGGACTCAGATATTTTAATAAAGTATTCATTAAGCTGCACACAGAGTCACCGGTTTGCTTTCTGTCAGCCCTGTTGTATCCAGTTCATTCGTCTGTTGTTGTTTTTTTTCGTCACTAACACGGAGCAAGACACCAACACTGAGAATATCAGAGCCATGTCAAGATTCTGTAAACATCATTTCTGGGGATTATCCTGTTCATCACTCCCTCCCGCAGTAAAGCAGCTGTGAGCTGGAATAAAAAATCCCTTAGCTTTGAGAGAAGAAATGCAATTCTGCTTGTCACTTGTGCTGGTCTTGGCGGCAGAACGTCATTTTCAGTGTGTGTGGGTAATTCTCTGGATCTAACAGGTCTTTGTTGAAGCCCTCAATGCATTCCAATGGGGTCAGTCAGAGCACAAAGGGGGCCTTTGAAATCTCCCCTGGTTGTGCTTTGTCCTCTAACGAGCGGTCATGGCCAGTGAAGTGGCACGCTGCGAAGATTAGCCCTCCTGGGTCAGAGCTACACGACCTGGTCTGAAATCCGCGAGACGTTGTCGAAATGGCTGACTTGCGTGGACAGGGATTTGTGGCTGTCTGTGCTCATCTTGGCCCTCACCCGATCCTTCTTCTCATCTTCACCCGAGCAGTGGCAGGTGAAGGCCGCTTTGAACTCCTCTCGAAATTTACCTGGGCAGAAGTGCAACAGAACACAGTGAGCATAAACAACACTGCAAGTTCGACTCAACCCTCAGAAGTGATAACTGTCACTGGGGCAGTGCCCCTCTCTTCACTGGGGTGGGACCCTCAAGGGTCCATCTCAGTACCTTTAGTCAGGGAACATAACTGAACCATAATCCACTGAAATGATATGTTCTAAGCTGTACTGACTCCACACACCCCGTCTCGCCTCCAGGCTTTTATTTTACTGTTCTGTTTTAAAACATTCGGTTATGAAAAGGTACAAATACGAACTTTTCACCTGGAAAAACTTATTTAAGGTTCACAAACAGACCTTAAAACCACTGTTGGAGCTTTGAGGGAACATTTACACTGTTTGTACCTTGATGAATGAAAAATGTATCTGAACAGAACCTTTATTTCTAACAGTGTAGCTCAAATGATTCTTTCAAAACCGTGGATTCTAAGATTTTAGTCCATATATTTGTGCTGTATTATTTTTGATATGAATTTGACAAGCCGTTATTGTCGTTGTTATCCTTCTTTTTGTGGAAAGAAAAGCCATCCTTTACACTGTGTCAGTTTTTTTGTCATTTCTTGACACTGAAACAGAAGCACAGATCTCGCAAGAACAAAAGTTGTTATCTTGAGGTAAAGAGTTTATTATCTTGTGATCTCAAGATAACAAAATTGGTATCTTGAGATCACAAGGTAACTAACTTGTTATCTCAAGATAACAATCCAGAAAATTATACCAACAGTTCATGGCCTCTCCAGACTACGGAAGTCAACAGAGGCCATTGGTAGTTATAAATTTTTGGATTGTTATCTTGAGATAACAAGTTAATTATCTTGTTATCTCAAGATAAAGTTTTTATCTTGAAATAACAAGTGTGTTATCTTGTTATCAAACACTAACAAAAGTTATCTTGAGTAGATTATCTTGTGATCTCAAGACAACAAAGTTAATTATCTTGTGATCTCAAGATAACAAAATTGTTATTTTGAGATTACAAGATAATTAGCTTGTTATCTCAAGATAACAATCCAGAAAATATAATAACAATAGTTCATGGCCTCTCCGGACTGCCATACTTAAGGAATTTAAAATAAAATTTTAACAGTAAATGTCTTTTTTCATTGTTGACACCAATCCTTAATACTAATATCAATACCTTTTCTTTTATAACCAATGAACAGCTGTATAGAAAAGCATGTGAACACACTTTATATCACTCTTGTTCTCTCTTTAATGGCTATAGTCAAAATATGTTTCACAATATCAACAACGTCTCATAAAATTAATTAGTCCAAACATCTTTCTCATGATGTTGCCGTTTCACAATAATACTGATTCACAGTCTTTTATATTTCACAATAAATTGTACTACTTTGCATTACTATAACAAATATCCAATATCATATTACCACATTTGACATTACAGTTAATCCCATAAAATCCCAGGCTTATTACATACTTAGTCTTACTATTCAGTAACTACAGGGACTTCAATGTAAGCTGGTTGAGCTACTTGCAGGTTATAGAACTGTATAATAAAACGTCAGGCCTGCTGGTGGGCATTGGCCATTCAGAGGTTTAAGAGACATTTTATTGCCAGCATTGGCTCGATATCTACACTGATAGTGGTATCAGAGCATCTCTGACTAATATAACTTGTTAAAGTGCATTAATCATGAACCATCTTCAAAAAAGCCTGAACATCACAGATGTGTCTGGGTCTTAATGTAGGTGTTGGCTCTTATCAGAGTTGCACAGCAGGGGCACAAAGAGAATATTAACCAGGCTGGTTAAGTATTAATTCAGATGAGCTTGTTGTGAAATAAAAGGTGGGTGAATGACTGGAGAGCGATGGCCATTTAGAGGCTTTGAAGTCTCATTTTTGAAAGTTGCTGCCAGAGCTGGTTGAGAAATGTGGACTCCGGCGATGTCTCCGTGTGTCCAGCAGATGGAGAAAACGTCCCATAGAGAGGCCGGCTAATGCACGCGGCTCGGACACTCACCGCTGAGGAAATTATAGATGATGGGATTGGCTGCGCTGTTGGCGTATATAAGCCAGTGGGAGAAGGTGAACCAGGCATACACCGTCTCTCGGTTGTTTGTGTTCTTGAAGGCGCCAAACACTCTGGACAGGAGAGATGGATGAGAATACAAATAAAATTCAAGGACAGCTACAACTTCAGGACAAGGCCTATGAAACAGAGGTGCAAGAAATATTACGTTCACTTCAAAAGAACGTTTTGCGTAAGACAGAAATGTATTTTAGCTGTCAGAAAAAACCCTTACATCTCAATTGTTGTTGTTTTTTTTTGTACAGACAGTACACTGTGTCATGTTTCATAAGGAATGGAAAGAAGCCACCAGACTTTGTGTATATTTACGTTCAGTTTGTTTCAAATCTATTCACAGACCAAACTCCTTTTGGCCAATAATCCAGGCGTAAACTTCCAATAAACTTTCAATAAGCGTTGCTATTACTATTCACTGGACGTGACATGCACAACTGCATTGTCAACAGCTTAGTATTTATGCAATTTTAGTACTTAATTTTGTACTGCGCATTATATTTTTATTGTTGTTTTAGTATTTGTTTTTATTATTTATCTTCACGTCTTCTATTTTTGCATCTATAAATAGTGAACGGCAATACTTTTGCTCCTGTTTTGCTCTTTTTTGTACTTTGTACTGCTGCAATAGAAGACTTTCCCTATCTGTCTGTCTGTCTGTCTGTCTATCTATCTATCTTTTCATGTTTTATGCACAGTGAGTGATAAATGATTGTTTTTAAAAAAGTATTTCACAAAAAAATTGCTATAATCGGCAGTTTTGTTTAAGATCTGTCATGTTCAAAGCTGTTATAAAATACTCCATATGAACAAATTTGACCGCACACATGTATTAAATTCTTAAAGAGGGTTCTGTACTGCTAAAATTTAGTTTTGTTATTATTATTATTATTATTATTATTATTATTATTATTATCGTTATTTCATAATTTCAATTTTTTTGCTGTTATTCTAAAATGCGCTAATCACTAAAAATCACTCTCTGAATATTTTGAAGGCACACATTATTCTGCAAACGAGACATAATTTAACAGCAAAAGCTAAAAGCTAAGTCTGCACCGTACCTCTTCATGATGTTGAGGACACTAATGGGGAGGTAACAGAGGGCAAAGACGAAGAGCACCACCATCAGCATGCGCGCTGTCTTCCGCCGTGCCTTCACCTGCTTGATCTCGGCCGACACCGCGCTGGTCCTGACCTTGACCGACTCTCCGGGGCCTGCAGCCTGAGCTGAGCACTGCAGGGACTTCCACTTCCTCTGCAGCACTGATGATGTCCCGGGAATCTGAGCAGAGACATACCAGTATCATTTGCACTGGGGCCTACTTCAAACTGCTCTGGTAGTAGAGTCATCATACTTTTAAAGCCCAGTTGAATATATTCAGTTAGAATGTTACTCATTATTTTTTTGCTTGACAATAAAAAAAGACAGAATTTTGAACAGAGGAAGGAGAGTCACAGGAAGGTGAGGGAAATTTTAAGCCATATACACCATATGGACAAAAGTATTGGAGCACCTGCACATCACACCTACAGGAGCTTTTATGACGTCCCATTCTAAATCCATAGGCATTAATATGGAGTTGGTCCCCCTTTGCAGCTCTAACAGCTTCCACTCTTCTGGGAAGCTTCCTACAGATGTTGGAGAGAGTCTGTGGGAATTTCTGCCCATTCATCCAGAAGAGCATTTGTGAGGTCAGACACTGATGTTGGACGAGAGGGTCTGGCTCACAATCTCTGTTCTAGACCATACCAAAGGTGTTGGATGGGGTTGAGGTCAGGGCTCTGTGAGGGCCAGTCAAGTTCTTCCACACCAAACTCACCCAGTCAGGCCTTTATGGACCTTGCTTTGTGTACTGGGGCTCAGTCATGCTGGAACAGGAAAGGTTCTTCCCCAAACTGTTCCCACAAAGTTGGAAGCATAGAATTGTCCAGGATGTCTTGGTCTGTTGAAGCAATAAGATTTCCCTTCACTAGAACTAAGGGTTCTAGACCAACCCCTGGAAAACAACCCCATATCATCATCCCTCCTCCACCAAAGTTTACAGCTGGCACAGTGCAGTCAGGCAGGTAATGTTCTCCTGGATTCGCCAAACCCAGATCTGTCAAGTGGCGGTGTGCTTAACACCACTCCATCTGACGCTCCGCATTGTGCTTGGTGATGTAAGGCTTGCATGCAGCTGCTCAGCCATGGAAACCCTGCCATGAAGCTCCCAGAGCACAGTCTTTGTGTTGATGTTAATGCCAGAAGACATTTGGAGCTCCGCAGTTATTGATCAGCAGAGCATTGGCAACTTTTATGCTCTATGCTCCTCAGCACTCGGCGACCTGCTCTGTAACTTTACATGTTCTGACACTTTGTGGCTGAGTTGCTGTGCTTCCTAAACACTTCCACTTTTCAATAATATCACTCACACTTGGCTGTGGAAAATCTAGGAGGGAAAGTATTTTGCGAACTAACTTGTTGCAATGGTGTCATCCTACTACAGCACCACGCTGAAATTCAGTGAGCTTTTTAGAACGACCCATTCTTTCACTAATGTGTGTAAAGGCAGACTGCATGGCTAGGTGCTTGATTTTATACACCTGTGGCAATGGGACTGAATGAAACGCCTGAATTTAGTGATTAAGACATGTGTCCCAATACTTTTGTCCATATAGTGTATATGTGGCATATAAAATCAGTTAATGCAAAAGACATGCAAGTTGATGGAAATCACCTGCCAGCAAGAAAACTGGATCTATGGCAACCAAATCACAACAGTCGTTCCAGAGCGGACTCCAGATTTTAGTGATCTCTTTCATTAAAAACTGTCTGTGATTTTCTTCATTGTCTTTCTCATTGGATGATCATGAACTGGGCTTGACAAGTACAATGTGTGGTATTAAGGCCTTTACACACTGAGTGCACCTATTTGCGTGATTTATTCAGATGACAACTCACTCCGAGACAGACTGACTCAGAGACAACTCACTAATCGATCACGGTTGTCTGAGCCGTTGGCATGGCAACAAGAAAGATGACGGAGCAGCTGTGCCCCAGCAACTACAACTTTTTGACAAATGTCAAAAGGATTAGTTTGCCTTCTGCTTTGTCATGAGCACACTTTTAAAAAGATGGTCCTTCAAGGGTTCTTTAGTAAAGGAAATGGTTTTATATAGAACCATGAACACTAAAAAGACCTCCTTGCATGATTAACGGTTCTCTGCATGGTGAAATTGTTCTTCAGATTGATGAAGAATGTCCTGTAGATGATTCTATATAGCACCTTTTTGAAAATGGTTCTTTACAGCACCAAGAAGGGTTCTTCAGTTGTTACGATGTCAATCTTGTACACTGTAAAAAATGGTCAATGGTCAGAAATGTCAATTAACCTAAAAAAAATACTTAATGTGGTAACAAGTAAATTAACTAGTTCAACCTAAATGAACACTTTGAGTCACCGATTCTTTCAATCAGTGTGATTTTTTGAGTTGAATAAAATTAGTTCAATTGCTTGTTACTAAATGATCTCATGAGCAATTTTTTACAATAAAACTCATTTTGATCCTATTTAGAACCTTTTCAAAAAGGTTCTTTATTAAACCATCTACAGCACATTCTCCATCAATCTGAAGAACCAATCCATGATGCAAAGAACCCTTTAATCATACAACGGGTGTTACAATGTCAAGCTTGTAACAATAAAAGAACTGTTTTTGGTGTTATATAGAACCCTTTTTATAAAGGTTCTATACTGAACCATATTCAACACATTCTCCATCAATCTGAAGAACCAATCCATGATGCAAAGAACCCATTAATCGCACAATGGGTACTTTTATTGTTACAATGTCAAGCTTCTAACAATAAAAGAACTCTCTTTGATGCTATATAGAACCCTTTTCAAAAAGGTTCTTCACTGAACCATCTACAGCACTTTCTCCATCAATCTGTAGAAGCATTTCACCATGCAAAGAAGTCTTTAATCACGCAACAGTTTCTTCTATTGTAACTTTGTCAAGCTTGTAACAATATAAATCTCTTTGATACATAGAACCCCTTTTTAAAAAGGTTCTGTATTAAACCATATTCAACACATTCTCCATCAATCTGAAGAACCATTTCACAATGCAAAGAAGTCTTTAATCATTCAAAGGGATCTTTGAGAGTTCATGGTTCTATATGTGTAGTACTAGCATCTCCAAAAGCAGCTCAAACTGGGCTCTTATATAGTTTCAGCTCCTGAATGAGGCGATGAAGCTCTCTATGCTACTTTCACGTTCCAAAACAGAAAATATCCTCCTTAATGCCATTGTTTTCCTGTTCAAAAGGCAAACAAAGAGGATCAAAATATATCTTTCTGCACTAGAAGATGTTCTGGTCGCTTGTTGTTATTTGCACTACTGTGTATAGTTTTGATGCGGAAAAAAATTGTGTGTCCTTTATTCACATGGCCTTCAATGTGTAAGGGCCTTAACACCCTTTAGACAGTAAATAAGTTCATTTGGGGTGACCACATGTCCACTTTTCCTAGGAAATATCCTGTTTTAGGGACATAAAAATATTTCTGGTCATGGCTTTTATATTCTATATGTCTAGGATTTGGCTTTGCTTTCATGTTGACATTTGTTTTCTACACTAACCAGAGAACTAGTACAGAGGAGAATCACTGCTCTGTAATGTCTTCCTGGTTTCTCAAACACTAGAGGGCACTCCTGAGCGAGTCCAAAATGAACGGGTTAAGATAGAGCATTTGAGCAAAATCATAGATTGTAAATGCTTAAACTTTTTTTTTTTTTTGGATTTTAACCCAATTTTCTCCCCAAATTTAGTCGTCTCCAATTCCACCCGCTAGTCAGGACTCCCCCAATCACACGATACTATCAACGCTAGGAGGGCGAAGGCTAACACAGGCTTCCTCCGAGACCTGTGAAACCAGCCACCGCTTCTTTTCGAACTGCTGCTCACGCAACGGAAAGTGCCAACCGCTAGATCTTTAATGTCAGCTAAAGCCTGCGCTGACTAGCATCGCGTTAAGTGATGGGGGGAGAAGGAGGGGCCATGCTACCCACCCAGAGAGAGCGAGGCCTGTTGTGCTCTCTTGGACTCGCGGCTACGGACGGCTGTAGCAAAACATTTTTAATGTAAAAGAATACAATCATTACCAGCATAAAACATTTTAACACCACTGTTATATTTTTAAGAGCTTTTAAACTCGAGTTATAGGAGTTTAAAACGGCGCCTCATTTACATTTATGACGTCTGTGAGCACAAACAGCCAATGAGCTACTCCGCTCGCCAACCAATCAGCATTCAGTAGCAGTAATGCTAACACTCTACTGCCCAAAACCAAATTGCTGTATAAAAAAGGAAAAATACAGAGTTTTCTTTGCTTTTTTAGTGAAATCCCTCCTTCTACTCTCTAAAATTAAAGGAAAGTTCTGAGACAGTGATTAGAAACTATTTTAACTTTTCATTTTTAGCTGATTAGCTTCACTCACCTCCATTCATTGAGGACTCGCTCGCGGGCGCCCTCTGCTGTCTTGTTTTTTGATATAATGGGGGAAATAGGAAGTGACCAGACTCCTCATAAACCGGCTCTGACTCTAACCCCGTGTCCCCCTCCTGCCCCCAGTGTTCTTTTTTTTGAAAACCAAAACATGGTCACTGTAGTTCTTAAATTATCCCAAACTCACAATATTACTTTGGTCAACATGTTATAAGCAGAAATGAAAGATACAAACTCTTTCTTTACCTGTTGACACCAAAGCTTATGACAAATCTGGATGTACGCCAGGACCATGAGGCACAAAGGGGCAAAATAGGTAACGATAAAGAAGCAGGTGTGGTAGACCTTAGGATAGATCTCATCTGCAACAGAGAGAACAATCACATCACGGTTGGAGAACATGTTCATAAACAAAGTAAACAACAAAAGCATGCCATTTCTGCTCCGCTGGGAAACCACTGAGGAGAAAGCAATGCCAACAAAGAACTAAACACATGGGGTGGGCAACTGTAGACGAGCCAATTAAGACAGAATACAATGAATATTTTCCGGTTCTGCACACAGAGAAAAAATCAGATGTGAATGGAAGGAAAAACATGTAGTTTTTGAAATGATAGGGATTTGTATTAAGCATTTGGGCCACCTAAGTGGGTAGTTAGAGAAAAAGCTTGTTTATTTTCAAAAGTAATCAGTTGCATATGGATTCATACACGTGTGTGTCCTTCAAATGGAGCAGTTAAGCACATCAGGCAGCCCTATTATCAATACGTGACACTCAAAATTGGATTTCTCTCTCCACCGCAACCCAAAACATCACGTCACTTGAGTAAAACATCATCCCCTCATCAATTTTAGTTTAGATGGATGTGTCAAAGCTAATGTCATTTTAATTTCAGCGGCTATGAGACTCTTATAGACATGAAGTATGGATGTAATACACAGGATACTACAAGTTACCACTTAACTGTGCAGTATAGTATAAGTTAGCGCCATCTACTCAGCCGAGAAAGGGGAGAAGATGGATGTTTCAACAAGAGAATGACCCCAGATACACAGCCAAAATAAATCCAGACTGGTTTCTAAAAGGGAGGTGAAGGTGGTCGCCTGGCCTAGCCAATCTCCTGAGTTCAATCCCTTTTAAAAAGGAGGATTTTGAATTTGTGAGTCCCTCAGAGGAACCTGTTCCCGACAGTTTGCCAAGATGAATGGACCAAAAATTGAACCACAATGTTGCAAAACATATTATTTACTGTTGACCTCTCAAAGCTGCAATTGCCAGCAACAGCCAATGTTATTAATTTATGGTGTCTGAACACTTTTTCCCTATCAATTTCATTTTTAAACGTATTTGTTGATACTTACAAATACACACTTTTGGTTAAAAGTACAAAGACATTAGATTCATAAAACTCAAAAAGCAAATGTGCAGCACAGTAAGACCGACTCATACAGTTATGAGTAGAAAATAGTTCTATGTAGCCCCAAAAAGAGTTATTCTATTGTTGCAAGATTGACATTGTACCAATTGCAGAACCCTTTTTTGAGGTGCTATATAGGATCATATACGACACATTCTCCATCAATCTGAAGCACCATTTCATCATGCAAAGAACAATTTAAGCATGCAGTGGTTCTATATAGATCGTATGGTTCTAAATAGAGCCATTCCCTTTACTAAAGAACCATAGAAGAACCAATTTTTTAAAAAGTGTAGTTAATCGAATGTGTAAGGTCTTCAGTTCAGCTCCTGAAGTCCTAACCAGTAGTAAAGCTCGGCTGGCTGTATCTATCTACATACTGAAGAGGAAGCAGGCTTAATTTTCTGTTTGGTGTTTTAAGAACTTAACATTTTTGTTTCCAACCAAAATGCAAATTTGAAATCAGAGTATTACTACAATACCTGCAGAGTTTAAATAAACAAACATCATGATTCTATTAAATAAAAATGATCTGTATTTCACAGAAATGTTTCTCTGAAGCCCTGAGAGTTCACCATTATATATGATATACACCGATCAGGCATAACATTATGACCACCTCCTTGTTTCTACAGACATTGTCCATTTTATCAGCTCCACTTACTATATAGGTGCACTTTGTAGTTCTACAGTTACAGACTGTAGTCCATCTGTTTCTCTGATACTTTGTTAGCCCCCTTTTACCCTGTTCTTCAGTGGTCAGGACCCCCCCATGGACCCTCACAGAGCAGGGGCTATTTGGGTGGTGGATCATTCTCAGCACTGCAGTAACACTGATGTGGTGGTGGTGTGTTAGTGTGTGTTGTGCTGGTCTGAGTGGATCAGTCACAGCAGTGCTGCTGGAGTTTTTAAACACTGTGTCCACTCACTGTTCACTCTATTAGACACTCCTACCTTGTCGGTCCACCTTGTAGATGTAAAGTCAGAGACGATAGCTCATCTGCTGCTGCACAGTTTGTGTTGGTCATCCTCTAGTCCTTCATCAGTGGTCACAGGATGCTGCCCACAGGACGCTGTTGGCTGGATATTTTTGGTTGGTGGACTATTCTCAGTCCAGCAGTGACACTGAGGTGTTTAAAAACTCCAGCAGCACTGCTGTGTCTGATCCACTCAGACCAGTGCAACACACACAAACACACCACCACCACGTCAGTGTTACTGCAGTGCTGAGAATGATCCACCACCCAAACAGTACCTGCTCTGTGAGGGTCCATGGGGGTCCTGAGCACTGAAGAACAGGGTAAAAGGGGGCTAACAAAGTATCAGAGAAACAGATGGACTACAGTCTGTAACTAGAACTACAAAGTGCACCTATATAGTAAGTGGAGCTGATAAAATGGACAATGAGCGTAGAAACAAGGACATAATGTTATGCCTGATCGGTGTATGAGACTTTTTTCCTGTAAGCAAGCAACTTTATATGCAGGTTAGTAATCCCTGTTGGCTTTAGTAAACACTCAGGTTAATTTAGCTTTAGACAAATCACCCAAGCATGAGAAGGACAAAAAATCGAAGTGGCAACAAGAACTGATTTAATACAGCTCAGAACACAATAGAAAGAGCTCCTCATAAGAGATGAGATACTATATTGTCTACATGGCCTGACGTTGTTTCTGTTACCCTGTTATCACTGTTAAATAATCCTTGCTTTGAGACCCGTTTCCTGGCATTATTATCAGAGATACACCACAATAGCTTGAAGAGCTGCTCTCACTGATATCTCTTTGTCTGTCAAAGTGTCAGTTTGACCAGTTCAGTAAAAGATCAGCATCAACAGATAAAACCTTTAAGCGTTAATCCCCACTTGTAATTTTGGAATGGCTTGATTTTAATCTTGAACAGGATACCTAAGCCTCTGTTTTTTAAAGGCTCTTAGGAATCATCATTTTGTATTATAGTATAGCATTTATTACTAAAGTAAAGACGCTGGGTTTTGAAGCTGAGATATGTAACACAATAAAAGTCCACTACAACAGTGGGTTTTTATAACAGTCCTCGGGTCCTACAGATGCTCCCAACACACCTGAACTGAGCCATTAAGAACACTGAATACCTGGTGCAGGTGAGTTTGGAGGTGGGTGAGGTCCAGAGAACTGTTTTGAGAACGACTGCACTGTCAGACAAAACTATGGAAGCAAGCAGTGATGTTTGATATATTGATCTAACAAGAAAGCTTTTACTGTTAGATCAATATATCAACAACCAGCACAGCGTAATATGTTTACTGACATCTAGTTCAGCCAGAAATGTTTTCCTAAAGTTTTCTGTTGGTTTGCAGTGATGCAGGGTAATCTGGGGGAAGAAGCCCCTCAAGGTAAGATGTTCCATCCCCTTTTATTTTTCTCCTGATGAAATGATGGCACCAAAGCTTATATGGACACAGTTATGGCCAGCTATAGTCTAATTAATTCATTTTCACCTGGATCACTGCATTTCTGGGTATTTTTACGCTGTAAAATGTCTGGACTGTTTATCTTGTTTTTGTTTTGTCACTGAAAATAGTGGTTTACACATTTATACATTTCAACAAGAAAATTGGTAAAAAATATATATATAATATAATATAATATAATATAATATAATATAATATAATCCACTGATCAGGCATAACATTATGACCATAAACACTGTGTCCACTCACTGTCCACTCTATTAGACACTCCTACCTTGTCGGTCCACCTTGTAGATGTAAAGTCAGAGACGAGAGCTCATCTGCTGCTGCACAGTTTGTGTTGGTCATCCTCTAGTCCTTCATCAGTGGTCACAGGACACTGCCCACAGGACGCTGTTGGCTGGATATTTTTGGTTGGTGGACTATTCTCAGTCCAGCAGTGACACTGAGGTGTTTAAAAGCTCCAGCAGCACTGCTGTGTCTGATCCACTCATACCAGCACAACACACACTAACACACCACCACAACGTCAGTGTTACTGCAGTGCTGAGAATGATCCATCACCCAAATAGTACCTGCTCTGTGAGGGTCCATGGGGGTCCTGACCACTGAAGAACAGAGTAAAAGGGGGCTAACAAAGTATCAGAGAAACAGATGGACTACAGTCTGTAACTGTAGAACTACAAAGTGCACCTATATAGTAAGTGGAGCTGATAAAATGGACAATGAGTGTAGAAACAAGGAGGTGGTCAGAATGTTATGCCTGATCGTTGTATAACAATGAAGAATACCTTACTGTCCTTTTGTCTCTTGCCATCGTTCATTAAAATGAAGAGGAATCATTAAGACATAAATTGATAGAGACTTCAATTTCATTTTATAAATAATTCAATTGCAATTTTATTAATAAAATTGATTAAACTTCCAGAGAAGATTTGACATATAAATTATACATTCTGTAAAATCTAATAATAAATTGATACAAGATTTCCCTGAAGGGCAGTTGATCCCAATAGTGCGACAAAAGACTTTTTTGTGCTGTATAAACAGAACACATTCTCCATCCATCTGAAGAACTATTTCATCACACAAAGAACCATTTAAGCCTGAAATGGTTCTATGTAGGACTTGTGGTTCTATATATCCATCCCCTTTAAAAAAGAACCATTAAAGAACCATCTTTTCGTTTTTAAGAGCATAGATTAATGGCAGAACTGAATCCTGTAAGGTGCAGAACTATCCACTGTTAGAAAAAGGGCAGTGTCCAGGTGAAATTCAACTAGCCAAAGTACGGAAATGGTGCAACACTGTCTTTAGGGTCCAGTTGTGCAGCTAAAACAAATTTTAAAGGCAAACTACCTTCACTTTCCTAGAGAAGAAGCATATTTGTACCTTTCATAACTTAATAGCGCTCGTACTGTGGAAGGTCAATTTTTATCTCTCTGAGAGTGTATGTTATTACCGAGAACACCATATTTACCTATATGAGGAC